ACGGCAGAAATTTCCCGTACCCCAGCTGTTGTAGGATCTAGTGCGGATTTTGAAACAGAATAGAGYTGCAGCCTGTATTCCAAAAAAAACTTCGGTGAATCATGTGAAGGGCATTGTTTGGGAGCAGTTGGAGAGAGAGCTGCTCTCCTGATTAAACTCATTTATTATCCCCCATGTACAAAACAAGTGGCTGCAGTAACATCACTGCACCAAGAACACTGGAAAAAACATAAAAAACATAAAGCCTAATCCACATTTCTGGTACGAGCTGCTTAGCAGCCTCAGCTGTACCTCTGTGGGAACCAGAGGTACAACTTCACAACTTTCACGGCCTCATGAAAACTTTTTTTTTGGCACGGTGTGCAGAATAAACAGCCTTGCACTAGGTAGGGGCAACCTTAATTAAGATTAGTGAGCCCAAAGAACTGAGCTACCAGCAGGCTGAGTTGTGCAGCCATGCCTCTTCCCATTCCTGTTTCATTCCACTTAATTCCTCTTGGTTCTTCGTATGTGTACATCAGTTCCTTGTCTTTGTTGAGTTCTTTTTGAAAACATTTCGGGGGGGAAATCAAACATTCTTACTTTTGTGATTAATTATTTTGTGCGTTACCTCGATTTCATACCGATTTTAGAAGCTGGGGCTGAGTACAGCAAAGCCCAAGGTGGGAAGAAAAAACCATGTTATTAACAAAGCTGCAGCAATGTTCTCCTTGCCCTGTTCACCTGTCCAGCAAGCACTTTGCATTTTTTGTTCTGCGGACGTGGCCTCAATGCATCAATACCCCGGGAAACTTCGCAGACACGGGATGCTTTTGGGAAGGGCCAGGAGAGAACCTCCCCTCAGCCTGATGTCCAGCAGGCTAAAAAGACATCGAAGAGGCAAGCCAGAACAAATAAGGGATAACCAGAAAACAGAACTTCCCATTTAAAATTCCTGAAATAAACAGAAACTTGGACGTGCACTTGGGAAAAGAGTCTGGAGTGGCCTGGGTCTCCCTGCAGGATGCTGTGGGGAAGCAGGASCTGCCTGAGCTGTCCAGGAGCTCGGCTCTGAGGGTTCCTCAGCCCTCCTGTGCCACCAGCCTGCCGGGCAGCCCGCCAGGGAGCTGGGCAGGAAGGAAACCAGCGAGGCTTCCAAGAGAAAAAACATCCCGCTGGAAAATTTCTGCCCGCTCGAATAACGGCCCAGCTTGGAGAGTCAGTCACGGAGCTGGCAGAGGAAGGGAGAGAGAGCCACTGCCTTCCCTGCTTTGCTCCTGGCTTCCCAGACACATTTCCTTCTGCTCCAGCCACAGCACCAGCTGAAGCCATCCTTCAATGGGATGTCTGTAAATCCCGTGTACCTTCCCCACGGTGCTGCCTTCCCCCAGGACAATGGCAATGGTGAACTGGTGCCGTTCAGGAGGTCACATTTTCTCTGGGAAGGCCTCTCCTGCTTCAGGCAGCCACCCTGTGCTCCTGGCAGGGCCTCCAGACGCTCCTGCCTCGCTCGGAAAGACCGCGCGAGAAAACAGCTCAACTTTCCAGCTCCGGTTCCAAGGCTCCTCCAACTTGGCGGGGCTGACAGCCAGTCTGGCCTGGCTGCAGGAATAACTGATGATCATAGGTAGCATCCCACAGAACTGCCCTGGCACTGATACATATGGTTTATATCAAAGTGACAAGGTGCTTATGAAGCCTATTAATTGAAAACTTTCTATAGCCTTTTTATACGTTATCAATATAAGAATGTAATAACTTTTTACATATTATTAAAATACAATGTAATCGCTTTCAATATATTATCAATGATAGCATTTTTATATATTGCTGTAAGTTTTTTAACTTACAGTGTATTAGCCACATATACTATACCAGCTGCACGTAATCTAACCAGCTGGATTAGTACAGAGATACATGAAATCACCAAGAAGCATAAATCAGAAAAGTTCTGAAGAAAGTAGACAGCTAAATGCTGTAACAAGGAACAGTGGAGAGCACTATTGAGTACTTGGCAGAAACACGGGACAGTCAGAAAAATAATTGGAAATTACGACTTGGAGGACTAGAAAAAACCCATGAACATCACAACTGCGCATGGCCTGAAGACAAAGGTGAAAAGTCCACCATGATGAAGAGGATGGTATCTCATTAGAGGGAGACCCCCACAACCACTGAATAAAGGATGACACATGAGCACTTGTAAAACTGTGATATCATGTATTTCTGTGCCYGTGTATAGTGGTGGGTGTATGGTGGGCRTATGGGGGGCAGTGACAATGTTCATGTTACACCATGCTTACTGTATAAATACGTGCTAATTTGAAGCAAAGGCAGGTGGGYTAGSAGGAKAAATCCCCCTCACCTCCAGAGCTGCAATAAACAAATACCTGCTCTATAGACACCGGTCTATGGGGTTTTATTTCTAGGCCTTTTTCAGGCATCAGCATCCCATAAAACCACCCTGGAAAAGCAACAAACGCGGCCCTTTCAGGCTGCTCCATCCCCACTCACGGCTCCCCCACTTACCGCTCGTTGCTCAGCGCCATCCTGGGCGGGTCCAGGTTGGGATTCTCCATGGACTCCATCTGGGGACAGCGCAGGAAGTAGTAGAGGGTGTGCAGGGCATCGGGGGACCAGGAGACGGGCTGCTGCTGCTGCCGTGTTTGCCGCACGGGGCTCATGCCGGGCCGCAGCGTGTTCAGGCACTGCATGTGGTGCATGGCCCGCGACACCAGGTCACCTGCACGCACACAAAACACCAAGTCACCTCTCTGCGAGCCACCCACAGTGCTTTTTGTAATGGATCAATGCTCTCCCAGCTCGCAGAAATGTTTGCTGTGTGCACAAAATCTCTTCCACAAGGGCACAGGGTGTCTTGTCCCTCCGGCTGCTGCTCCACAGTGTTTTCTGTCAAATCCCAAGCTACCAGTCAGAAAAGTCACCACACACCCTTTACAGTGAGTTTTCTAATTTTTTTCTAATTTACTGCTGGTTTCAGCCTCTTCTCACCAGTTTTTTCTTGCTAGCCTGCAAAAACTCCTGGTATCTTTGTAAAATGTCCTCTGCCCAACCTGCAAGYGACAGCTCCACAAGGCAAAGCCCGCAGCACCAACGCCAACACTTCACTCTCATTTTTGTCAGGAGGCTGCTCCCGTTTCTTTCAACTGGATCATGCTGTTCTACCCCCCTGCCCAGGAACTCGAGACAAATTAGGGACATTATGCTCAAGACAGAAACCTCTTCTTTTAGGCATCTGCTGTTCCCGTTCTCACTCTAGCTGCAGGTTTCTCCAGCACGACAAGACCTGGCTCTCTTTTTAAAAAGCCAATCTTTATCATGCTGGCTGTCTCAAGCTGTGACAGAAGTTTGTCCCTGAGCAGTGTCAGAAGCTCAATCCAGGAGCTTCTGAGTCCTCTTGGTCTTTGAACTGGAGCCAGGCTGCCCCTCTGTCAGAGCATGGAGGACCTGAGGAGGCCTGGAAGGAGGTGACCTGGATTACACAGCTGCACTCAAGAGTTTTAGGACTGTGGATTTAAAAAAAGTTCCCAGAGCAATGACCCCAAAGCTGGTCTTTTATGCAATCAGCCTGCTTTAGGCACAACCCTGTTTAGTTTCCTTGTGTTGTGAGTGCATTACAAACCCCAAAAAGCTTTAAAAGCTTCATCTTTGAGCAGTGTGAACTGAATTATTACTATACTTAGCTAGGATCTGTTTTTTCCTTGGGAGAATCTCTGCTGCTTTATGCTTCACAGTCCCCTCAGACTYTCACAGGAAACATGGCCCTATTGTGTCCAGAAGTTACAATACTGGGAAAGGATGGAACCGAAATAGTGGCCCCATCACAAAGCTGGCTCCTGGGAAAGCRCCCCCGAGTTTCGCAGCGCCACATCTGCATTAGCTGCACCTCCCTCTGAAATTCTTAGCAAGTTATTATTTGTTCATTTATATCTAAAAGGAATAGACTGAATTTGCCAGCCAGAATCCCCGGGGTTCCGCTGTTCTGCTGGACAAAACCTGACAGAGCTACTGTGTGTCTAAACATGACGTTTTTAGTGGTTCAGACCAAGGGGGTATTAAAATTCTCGGTTTGCAGTCTAAAGCCGTGCCACTCCTTTGTTGCACAGCACATTCAGCTTTAAGGACCCACTTCAGAATAATAAAAAAATCCTTCTAACAACTCTGCCTTTCCACTTCAGTAGCTCCAGGATGCGCACGTTTTACGAGAGCATCAYGAATCCTCCAGTGCTGGTGCTAACACACAAGTCTGCACAGTTTATAGCAGAAACGCATCTGGAATTCAAATTTCCAGCTCAGAATAACGTTCCTTCTCCCCTTTGCACACTCACTCTATTTTTCTGGCAATGGGCAGCAATGTTTTTAAAAAAAAAGAAAGAAAAAAAAAAAGAAAAAGTAGGCAACTGTATCAGGGGATCCATTCACGGGATGTACTGACCAAGTTGGCCGGGCAGGGACGGGGGGAAGAGGGAGAGAGGAAGCTGGATTCAATCTCAGGCCCTCGCTACAAATGTTCTCTTGTGTTCCAGGATAAATAGAGGTGTGTTGAAGGAATTTGAAAACCTCAAATTAAGGCAGGTTGCAAAATAAATGGTGAAACCCGCAAACTCCTTACCGGCCCTGGCATTCATTAGCATTCAGATGGTGCAGGCTGAGAAAGCGATGCCAGCAGGAACGTTGCAAGGGAAAAAAAGTAGACCAGGAAAACACAAATCATTTTTGTTTACTTTAAAAGGGCTTTGTGAGTACTCTAGGAATGGAACATTTCATTTGGTCAGCTTAAAAAAAAAAAAAGAAGAGGGGGGTTGAACAAGTCTTTCTTACCAGAGCACTCTCAGATTTTCTTTTCCCTCTGATTTTCGGTTTTTTTTTAAGTAATCAAAAAGCTTTTCCTTGAACATCCTGGGCAAACACTGACAAAGAGAACTTTACTTTACTTTACCTCCCTATTTGCCACCTGAGGGAGGTTTGCTGTGCTCCACAAATGCACAGGAGAACCTCTAGAGGCATCTAGGAAAGAGCATCCAACTTCAGCTGGCAGAACAACCAGCACCAGAAAAAAACAAAAAAGCAAAAAAGCAAAAGAAAAAAAAAGAAAAAGAAAAAAAAAAAGAAGCCACATCTTACACCTCTCCAGGTGAATTAGACACAAAGCAGAGTAATGAAAGCAGCTGATTTTCATAAGCAGCCCCACCAGACAATTAAATCTCACCCAGCACAGAACGCCGCTCTCGCTGCCAACAGCAGGGGAGGGATGGGCTCTCCTGCCCCGCCGGGAGAATCCCGTGGTTGGAAACACCAAAACACCCCAAACTYACTCAGTTCCGAGATGCTCCCGACGCAGGTGGCCAGCAGGGACTGCTCCAGTGTCCGGAGTTCCAGCTGGGCGTAGGCGTCCGCCCGTCCATCGCTGCTCACCGAGCCATCGTGGTAGGGGCTGAAGTAGGCGGGGAGGGACAGCACACCTGGGGCAGAACACAGAGAACACCTTTTACAGACCATCCTACAGCCGTGGAACACCAAATCCCACTGGGAGGGACACAGAACTTGCACCTTTCCTCGGGAATTTTTGGAGAGGTTCAAAGGAAACCAAACAGCGTCGCAAACGCCGCCGGAATGGCCGGAGCGGGGCAGCCAGGCTCCGRTGAGCGAGGCTGGATTTTCCTGCAGCCTCCAAGAGCTGCAAACAAACTGCAGGCGAGATAACACAACATGAAAAGCCATGGTGAAGCTCTGCCCGTGTTTACACAACAACTGGGCTGCTGAACAGCTGCACGCAGATCCCCATGGAAGGGCCCSATGTGGAACGCAGCCCGGAGCCCAGCGCATCCCTGCAAACAGAACCGCGGGCTCTGCCAGCCCTTTGAACCTGCCACGCACTTTCAGGTGCTCACACCTCGGCTTCTGTGTGTGCAARGCTCTGGCACGCCCAGAGCTCTGAGGCTGCAGTCTCAAGGTTGCTCTGAGGTTGTTTTTGTCTCTATAAATGACCCCTGAGAGAGAGGAGAAGACGAGGAAGGCGATGGCGCTGCACAGAAGTGCTCACCATGCACATGTCTCCTCTCATCCTACACAGCTGTGAACATGCACAGGCACCTGGAGTGGATGTGAGACAGGGAGAAAAGGTGAGGGACAGTGCCCTGCCCTGTCCAGTGGCATCGTGGGGTAGATGTGGTGTCACTGATGCCTGAGGATTTTAACTTCTCTATTTCCATGTCTCTGTACCCCTGTGATTCTTCAGTGTTTAACTCCAGACTCCACAGACAGTGCTGAGCTCCTGCTCTCCCATTTTTACACAAAACAATTCCTCTGCAGCCCCAAACTCAAGGACACCTCCCTGTGCCAGGCCCCAAAATATGGAAACAACAGAGAATTGGGGGAGCCAAGTTGGAGTTTTTGACTGCATTGGCTGCAGCTGCAATTGGAGGATTCAGCCCCGATTTTGTGCAAATGGACAAAAGTGAGAAAGGGTGAAAAACCCGTGAGCCATTGTCCATTGTGGATGCAGCCCCTGGATGGGCTGGGACTGCTCTGAATGTACCTGAAGGCCCTTCAATAAAATATCACTGCTTTTTATTCTCTGAATTTTGTCCAGCCTTTGTTTGAGGTGAGCTGGGTTTAGGCATCACCACTGCACCCAAAAAGCCACGTGCCATCGCTCAGCCAGTGCTCCTGTGCCCTCGCTACTGCCCCATTTTGAATTACAGATCCATCCTGCARTTCCAGCAGCACTTCCCAGCCCAAATTTCCCTGATTCCAGACAAGGCCACTTCCAGCAGCCACGACTGCCCGTGCTCTGAGCCGGCTGCATCCTGTATTTCTGATTTTTCCCTTTGATCCACAGCAATAGGGCTCATCTCGGACCCGTGTTTCCTCCTGCCCTCACCTCCTGACCCCAAGCCGGGCTGGGATGAGGAGATCCTTCACTCCCGTGGCAGTGACCTCCTGTCACATAGGTGCTGTGYATTGTTGTCACCACAAAACCCTGCAGCTCATTGTGCCAGACYCTTTTGTTTCTCGGTCTTGATGTTTCCTTTTGAGGTTTTAAGCCCGGGCTGATCTCTCCTACCCTTTTCACATCCTGCTCGGTGGTAAAGCCAAGGGCTGCATCAAAAACTTCCTGGACATGACAAGAATAAGGGAATGATTTATCCTGTTGTGCTTCTTCACTGTACATCGCTGTTAGTTAATGGAGAACACTCTGCCAGTGCCCTCTTAACCTGAATAATTAGGAAGTTGAGGCTTTAAGAGCTACCAGAAGCCGTGCATGCAAACGAGGAGAGCTTTTCTTTAAATACACTGTACGCAGCCTAAGCCACTTCCTTTTCCATGCCAAAGCTATGAAAGGATGTTTCAGAGACATATGGATTGAATTTATGGCGGGGGGAGAATGAAAACAGCCTGATTTGTCAAAACTTTCAAATAGAGGCACRTAACTCCACAAAGGCAAAAAGAGAAACTGGCAGCTCTGCTGCTGAGACGGGCACAGGGAGAGAAATGGGGCACATTTTTCTCTGCCAGCCACTTGCAGTTGGTTCTGTTTTCCAACAGGGAATTAAAAATAAAGATTTGCTGAGCGATTTGGCCCAACAAAAAGGCAACTACGTTTTCTCAGTTTTCCACAGTTTAATTTGCCAGGTGGGGCAGAAAACAGAGAGGGTTTTATTTACCTTGGGAAAAATGACTCATCCAAGATAGGTGTGGACAAGATTTGTGCTGTCATCTGCCCTGGGACAGCTGAGGAGCATCCTCTACGTAGTGGAGAGGAATAACGAACTTACCCAGACTTTGGCCATGGACCAAAGCCTGGTGATGCCACTGGGATTTTCCCTGGGATCGCAGAAGGGGATGAATCAGGCCCTTGTGACACGGGATTTCAAAGATGTGAGGAGGCCTGGGAATGAGGACAGAYCTCCCAGCACTGATTGTGAGACAGAGGGAAGCAGAGCAGAACTGCACCGCACAACCTTTCTATCTTGCAGCACCCTAAGCAGGATTTTCTCTCTGATCCTCTTCCAGYAACTCTGTGGAGTTGGAGAAGCATCGCCTCTGCTCCTCGGATCAGAAATTCAGGCACAAGGACATCTGCAGTCAAGCTTTGCCCCATTATAATGGGGATATAATTAGGAACAGGGCTTAATCTTTAATTTCAATTAAAGAAACCCTTTGATAACAGGCAACTGCCTTGTGCTGACTATTTGTATCCCAAACTGTGGTTCTTGCTTTCCTGACTCCCAAATCAAGGAATTTTCAGTCAMAAGGTGTTACAATGGCGTAAGTCACAGGGGCAGTTTCTGTCTGGCATTCACATTCCTGCATTTTTATGTTGGTGGCAACACTGGTTTTGATCACGAGTAGCAAGGCACGCAAAACTGAAACTGAAATAAATCAGTCCACGTCAAAACACCCTCTGAAATCACCTTTATTTCCTACCTCTCCAAAGTGTATTTTCCCCACAAAACACCAATGTGAAACWGGGCACAATTACAGTGCAAGAATGAACTGTGTGGTTTATTTTTTAAAATTAATTAAGATTTTAATTTTAAGATCCAAGTCCAGGTGGAGTTAAGGAGAGACCATGAATTTGAGCGTGGCTTAGCTCAAACYTCAGGAGCAGGAGGAGCTCAGGAGTCACCTCTGGAATCATCTKGTTCCCCATGAAGGCAGGGCTGGCTAACAATTTGCTCCTGATCTTTCCATAGCCTTTGAAATGGCAGCTGGAAATAAAGCCACGTTTATTCTACCCCAGTTAAATACGAAACCTGCTCACGAGCACTTGCTGCCAACGCTCTTAAAAGAGGCAGTCACGACTGGGTGAGTTCCAGTTAAGCAGTTCCTTAAACTCAAATTATTCTGCTTGCCTGAAGAGTTAGAAATTGTCCGTAATCTGATGCTTTTTAAGAGCAACTGAAAATGTTTCCAGTCTGAGCCAGATCCAGGGAAAAGTCTGTTCACACTCCTGGACATCTTTCATTTTTAAGAGGCGCAGCAGTTCTGCAGAGAGCTGGGCAAAGCTCTTGTGTGGTTTCCAGCATGTGCTGGAATCCTCTGCTCTGGAGACAGGCAGGGAGAGCTGGGAATGTTCAACCCAGAAAAGAGAAGCGTCCAGGGAGAACCTAGGGGCTCCAGGAGACCTGGAGAGGGGATTTGGACAAGGACATGGAGTGACAGGACAAGGAGGAATGGCCTAGAACTGAAGAAGAGTGGGTTTGGATGGGATGGAGGAAGGAATTTTAACCTGTGAAGGTGGTGAAGGTAAATCCAGAGAAGCTGTGGCTGCCCCTGGATCCGTGGCAGTGTCCCAGGCCAGGCTGGACAGGGCTTGGAGCACCCTGGGACAATGGAAGRTGTCCCTGCCCATGGCAGGTGGGGTGGAACTAAACCCTCTTTAGACATCCCTTCCAAGCCAAACCATTCCCTGATTCAATGATTCCCTACGCTGGGCAGTGGATCCAGTTCCTCAAGGACAATTCCTGTGAGGAACCCCGGCTCCACCCCTGAATGTCCTCATAATTCAGAGCCTGGCATCAAATTCTGCCCCTTCTGATCTCAATACACAGAAAATTGCAGACTTTGCCCTAAATTTTGGTCTGAGTTTGGAATGTTTGACTTTCCAGCTACCTTCGCACCTCACACCATTTTCACGCCACGTTCAGGTGAAGGGTCCTGCCATCATTTTTACCCTGTTGTAATGGTTTTTCCTGGGCTTTCTCCAGTCTGGACCCTGAATGCTGGCAGACGGCTTCCTAGAGATTAACTCCTCAGCCATTTGATGGCTTTCAAACACTTATATGATGTCTAGAGGTTAAGATGGGGCCACTCACAAGTGGCAAAGGGCCAARGAGACTTGGCTGGAAAGCACTCGAATTCTGCTGTCTGGGATTCCTCATGGAAATTGCCCAGGGTCCTGATTTCCTTATTTCAGAAATGCACTGGCTCTGTTCATGACAGATTAGGCAAAGAATCAGGAATATAATTAGGGCAGGGATACACACCACAAACTACTGATGCRGAAAAACCGCTTTTTTAAAAAATAAACCCAGCAGAGTATATGGGACGATACCACGTGTTATTTATACCTAAACACCTCCATAAAACAAACCAGAACAGTAGGAAAAAAAGCACCTATTTGGCCAAACCMACCAGAAAGCTTCAGAAAATTCAAAATCACCTTTATGCATCATAAATTTTTTTCTAAAAGCCCCGTGTATGAAACGGGGTGAGTTTGAGTGCTGTGAGCCTGCTTGAAAAACGCATTAGGAAATCAAGCAGGAATCCCTATACCAGCATGATGTTTGGCTTGGGATGAAATCTTCAAGAAACATTCAGGGGGGTGGGAACAACGCAGCTGAGATGGATTTGGAAGGCTGAAGTTTTTTAGGACCTGTTTACGCCRGAGCTGCCAAATCCCAGCGATTCCAGGGAAGGCTGGTTGAGCGCGAGTGCAGTTCCCAGGCTGGAATGCGGCCACGGCGCGGGGATGGCTGTCACCTCACACAAAGTCCCGCAGTTCTTCA